TTGACATGATTTCCATCGAACATTTATTTTTCTTAATTATTCAACTTATTATTTTTCCAGTTACACAACGACACTTTATTTCTTTTTCGTAACCAATTAATGCTGTAATTTTTCATGCTATTTAGCAATCCTCTTTCCAAATTTAGAATCTACAAACCTAATAAAACAACTCTTCCTCTGTTTTCCAAATTATATGGAGTAATATTTGTTTTCCAAATTTAGAATCTACGCGAAAGCATGCCACCCTGAGGTTCCTAAAATAAATAAATAAAAAACAAGTTCAAATAAATATTTTCGTCGGCAACATCCTCACACGATCATCTTCAGTTTAATCTAGTTCCCCTGCTTCGTTAGTGGATCGAAAGCCAATTCATATACCAAATCGTTTGACGAAGTTTGAACACGGCAAAATCTCACTCCTATAGATACGGTTATCACAAGCTCACTGACACAAAAGACTAAAGGTAGTTATATCCGATATAAAGAAAGTCAGTTTACTAATTACTACTCAAACACAACACTGACAGTAAAATTCAATCCATGCAACAATTTTGAGGCACTGCACTGCAGATATACCTGAAATTGCGACAAATTTCAGGGACACTCATTTTGTAGAGCAAATTGGACTTAGGTTGGCGGAGCCTAATGCAAAAGACCGTGGCAGGGGTGACCGATTCCTGCTCCATTGAATCGTCTTCTTCGTAACTCACTGCTTCATTCGTCTTCTCGGAACCCTCTTCTGACTCCTTTGTGGCAGCAATTTGATTCATAACCGAAAATAAAAGGTTCTGCTATATATAATATAATATAATAATAATAATAATAATAATAATAATAATAATAATAATAATAATAATAATATTTATACAGTAACGAAGAGAAAAGGAGGTGCAAGTGACGGAAAGTCACAATTGATGGCGACGGATGAAATAGAAAGAAAAGACGTGATTATGAGTGGGGTTGGGGTTTATGGAGTACTATATATTTACACTATAAAATTACCATAATAAAATTGGATTTAAAAAAAAAGTTATTGCTTCCAATAAGATTTAGTCAATAACTAAGAGTATGGTGAAAGATGTGTTGTTAATATTTCTATTTATTCATAAAAAAGACGGTGTGTATATTAAAAGAGTTCTTAAACGATTTGCATTGTCAAATAGGTTTTATGTGATCTATAATGGAGTATTATTAATTATTTTTGTAACTTAAAAATTTGAATGTATATCTTGATAAAAGATTTCATAAGTACTAAGAAGAAAGGTGTTAAAAAATTTAGCAAGATCATTTAAACTAACCTGGATATATTAATTAAGAGCGTTGATGGTGTAGAAGTAGTAGCAATAGTTATTGGTGAAGTTTGGAGATGCAGTGGTAGTAGTCAAAGGAAAGGGGATTAGAAAAGAGAAGTTGAAGTTGGTGGTTGGATTCAGTGTATTTTATTTTTGGAGATTTGTTTTGCATTATTAACTTGTTAGGATGACATAGATGCAAAACGGGTTAGGTTCGGCTATCCGTAAATTTGTCATAATATGGTAGGGTGGGTTGATATTTTTAAGTCCATTAATCAGTTTTGGTTTATCCCGTCAAGTCCATCAACTAGTCGGACCAACCCGCAGGATGGTGAGCTAACTTCACAATCCGCCTAATTAATAAAAAAATAATTTTTTATCGTAATAAAATTAATTATAAAAATAATATATAAAGTTAAAAATTAAAAAAAAATTAAAAAAGTTTCATTCTCACATAAAATATTCTCCGAAATATAACCTTCTCTCCCGTTCTTTTGTTTATCCTAAACACCGATTATTTTTATCCTTATTACTTAAATTAAAAGTGTAAGAATTACTCAACCAAAAATAATATGAAGTTTTATCAAATAAAAAAGATATAGGAATTTAAATTTTTCAATATAAAAAATATAAATTTTATAAATTTAACGTTATTTATATATATATATATATATATATATTTGTTATTATTTATTATTATGTAAATTTTATTATTGTTCTAAATTATAATTTTTTAAAATAATATATTGATTTATATTATTAAATTGAAATAATATATATATATATATATATCGAATTATTAACAAACAAATAATAATCTTATTATTAAATATATTAAAAAGATTATTTAAAAAAATTTATTTTTTTCTAAATTATGACTGACTGACACCGTCAACCTACCCCTTACCAAGGCAGACCATTAAATATATTAAAAAGATTATTTAAAAAAATTTATTTTTTTCTAAATTATGACTGGACCAACCTACCCCTTACCAAGGCAGACCAAGATCTAGAGCTCCTTTTAACTATATTGGACCAACCCATTCTACCTCATTTTTTGCGGACCAAAGATGGGGCAATCAGCTGTCCTACTTTGCCATCCTAATAATAAGGTTGAGACGAAGAAAAGAAATGGAGTAATGGGTTATGGAATGTGCATAGCTTTTTGCATGTGTGGCACACAGGAGTCGTCGGCAGAGCCATGTGTCTATTTCATGAATTGGTTTACGACTTTTGTCCTTAAGACTTTTCCCCTTCGATCATCGCCAACTAACCCTACCATTACTGCACCTACACCTTCTAATAACCACCCTTCTTTTTGTCTCTATTTATCTCATTCATACAAAATGACTTGTTTCATGCTACTTAAAATTATTTAAATTTATTAATTTCATAGAGAATATTCAAAAGTTGTTTTATCTTGTTATTATTATAAACAGAAAACATCTTCAGATATTTTATCCAAGAAAATCTAAACCAAGTTCTTTGGCATAAATAAAAATTATTAACAAAAAAAAGTGACAAACAAATCCTCTGGCTCTCTCTCTCCCTTCTCTTCCACTGCTAAACCCTTCAGCTCTTGCAACTCCTTCTTCAACCTTTTTTTTATATGATAAGGTTTATAGTCGATATGAGAATTATGATCTCAAATCTAGATTTTTAGTTGAGAAAATTCATGATCAATAAGCTGTTTGGATTTGAAAATGGTTGGTTGAGTGACTTTGGCAGCCACATTTGAGATAAATTTCCTGCTATCATACATATCCTATGACAAACAAGGGTAAGAGGAAGAGAGTGTTGACAATGTGCATTCTATTTTCAACATTCAAAGGATTCCATTCTATATGACAAGTGAAAGGTATAGGTTAATTAAATTATAATGGAAAATTTTTCGTTATGTTATCTTAAAGGTGCTACAAATTAAGTATGATATAGAGCCGCCACAAGTTTGAACCAAAACCAAAGAACATAAGAAATTAGAATGAAAGCATTGACCCAACCTATGTGGAGGTGTTTAACAAGAAAGAGGAGAAGTGACCGAATGGGAACATGGCACACGAGGTGTGTGTGCCTTGACTTGTTTATTATTGGGTGCACAACTAGCAACTAGTTTTAGTAGTCTACTGCGTCTTTGTATTCAACTTTTGTCATTAATTTATAAATAAACTCACTATTTTTTATCACATGTTATTTGTAGATTCATCAATTTATGATAGTTTTTTATCATTTATAATATTCATTTAAAAGGAACTGTTTGTCTTTTATGCATAAATTTTATAATCACGTATAGATTAAGATATTCACATAAAATAATCACATATATATATATATATATATATATATGAAAATTGTTGAAATAAGTGTGTAATATTTTTTTCTATTTATTCTATTTGAAAGTATATTTTTATCGTTGAAAAAATCATAACGAAGTTAGTTATATAAGTAATAGTATTTAAAAATAAATAAAAGTCAATTCCAATACTCCAACAACTATTTTTATTGTTGTCTATACGACTCTCATATCCATTGATTTGGATTAATATAATCACAATATTTATTAAGTAAAACAGCTTTTTTTTAAACAATTCGTAAACTATTAATATTAGTTGCCATAAATAATAAAGACTTGTGTCTCTTAAAAAAATACTCAAGGATCAAATTTGGAATATGTCACTTTCGGTATTAAATAAATCATACATGAAAGAAAATAATACATAGTTTATAATACTTTCAAGTTCTCGGACATAATTATTATACATGGAAAGTTATGGTATAATTATGCATTTTTTTTACTGTTTTATTATTTTCAAGTAAGTTTTTTTTAGTGTATAAGAATGAAACATAAATGAACTAAGAATTTCAACCATTAGAGTAAAAATATGATATTTATATATTTAATAACAGATTATGTGTATATTGTTTACACAGTAGGGACTGGTTGATCCAATAATGGGTTAGTATAATGGTGATTGTGAAAAAATTAGAAGAAAATTGAAGCAACTGATACGAAGGAAGAAAAAGAGAAAGATGCGCGTTGAAAATGGTGTTGAGAATTAGCGACTGAAAAAACGCGGACAGTAACTACACCAAACAACTATTGGTCGCCAGGCCACCTTTTTTCATTTAAATAATCACCAGCCGGCTGGCGGCTATATCCACACTTCTTTGCTTTCATATTTCAATCATGGGATCACCAATAAACTATTTTCACATTACATCACGTTTCAGTTTTTGTTTCTCATTCATCATTCAACGTTAGTTAAGCCTTGGTTAGTATTTCCATACCTCTGTTTCCACCTCAATTTTCTTATCAACCATACAAGGTACCCGTTTCTCAATCTCAAAATTAGCACTCGCTATAAAAAAATATATAAAAATAAAAATCATGTTTTACTTCGTTTCATAAAAGGTTTATGTATTCCTCTAGGAACCAAAACCTTTCTCTATGGATATATTTTTTTGTCTGTGTTCGGTTGTTTGTTCGTTTTATGACAGAATTAGACAAAGTGAAAAACTGGGTTTTGTCCTGCAGTTTTGTGTTTGATTCTTTGATTTGAAGACACCATGCATGCCGATTTTTTCCATCTGAAATATTGAAAATAAGATCTAATTTTCAATTGGGTGGCCGTGCCAGCACACTTAGTAGTCTTATGTTGGAATGTTAATTATGCAGATTGCTGAGTACAGCAGTAATATACCAGGATCATTATGACTTGTGGCTGCTTTGGAGCCAAATCTGTTAAGGAAAGACGCCCTTCTAATGTTCCTGGTGAAATTGATGGTTAGTTATTTTCCTACTTTAACAATGCTAGAAAGGTTTAGCAATTTCATTATCATTTATGTGTGCTAAATATTGTAAATAAATTTGTTTTTTAATGCTTTTGTGGTTAACGGTTATTAACTGGAAATATGATTATCAATAGAATTCCGTTCTTGCCGTATTTCTTTCCATTTATATACATATGTATTATTTTGTTATGCAGGTTATCCCCTTGATAATGTTAAGCAATTTTCTGATAAAGAACTGAGATTGGCAACTGATGATTATCATTCAAGCAATCAGATAGGACGAGGAGGTTTTGGAACCGTTTACCAGGTTTTCAGAATTCTGAAGCTTGAATAAATTGCATCCATAAAATCAATATGAATGTTACCCATTTGAACTTAAATTCTTCACTCTGACACCATTATGTGAAGTACTAGACAATCTGAGAGAAGCTAGGATTCCACACTGTGCAATGGGAAAAACATCAATACATTGTTTTTGAGATATTAAGAATATCATCACAGTCACACTGTTTTTTTTTTTTTTTGTTTGCTCCTGAGTTTCAGCATTAGAATACATACGGCATTCTGGTGCTTATATACCAATAAGCTATTTTTTTCCCAAAATAAAACATGATAAACTCGAATTTGGTTTAGTATGCAGGGCTTTAATGTTGTGCCTGAAAAACAACACATACTTTAGTAGCAGGAAGTAAAACCCTCCATTATTTAATTTGATAAAATCCAAAATGCTCTCTTGGGAGTAAGTAAAAATTTAGTTTTGAGGACTCTGTGTATGTGCTAGTTTATTTAAGCTGAGGAAGAGTAAGATACCATGAAATTGCATCACATTTTATCATTTTAGGTTTTTATTGATGTTAAGTCATTCTAACTGCCCATCTGCCAATGTTGCTAGGGAATCTTAAGAGATGGAAGGCGAATAGCAGTGAAGACTCTCTCAATTTGGTCAAAGCAGGGAGTTCGTGAATTTTTGACAGAAATTAAAACTTTGTCAAATGTTAAACATCCAAACCTTGTTGAATTGATTGGATTCTGCATCCAAGGACCTAGTCGTACATTAGTCTACGAGTATGTGGAAAATGGGAGTCTCAATAGTGCACTACTTGGTAAATATGTCAAATGCTTGCAGTAAATCGTCAAGTCTGAAGTTAACTCCATATACAGATGAGAGAATGAAACATGCATGTAACCTTTGTTTTCTTTTTCCATCTTTTGTAGGCAAAAGGAATGAAAGCATTAAGCTAGACTGGAGAAAAAGATCTGCTATCTGTGTAGGTACTGCCAAGGGTCTTGCATTTCTACATGAAGAACTTTCACCACCAATTGTGCACAGAGACATCAAAGCTAGTAATGTACTACTTGACAAAAATTTCAACCCCAAAATCGGTGATTTTGGGTTGGCTAAATTATTTCCAGACGACATCACTCACGTTAGCACAAGAATTGCTGGAACAACGTATGTAAAGAGTTTTTAGAATAAATAGTCTATTCACTTCCAATGTCAAGAATTTTTCAGTCATTTGATAGCAAATTGACCTGATGATAAGTTTATTGGCATTTACAATAAGCACTTTAAAAGTCAGATCTACATGATTTCTGATTGATTGATTGACATTGTAAAAGCTTACGTCATAATTTGTTTGTTGCCTAAATCCTTAACTCTGCAGTTATTGGACTAGGCATACTTCAGTTTTTTGCTTGGAAAACAGGGTGTGCTAATTTATCCATTAGTCTATAGATTTTTTTGCATGTAAAAAATTGGTCAATTTATACATGAATTATGGATTATGGAACTCATTAATATGATACTTGCTTTGGTTTATATTTATGCAGTGGTTACTTAGCACCGGAATATGCAATAGGTGGGCAGTTAACCAAGAAGGCCGATATATACAGCTTTGGGGTTCTTATACTTGAAATAGTTAGTGGCAGAAGCAGCGCCAAAAGGACGAACGGAGGAGGAGGATCACACAAATTTCTCTTGGAATGGGTACATAAGTCTTGGTTTGATGAGCTATTTTGCATCCATTTTATGTTTTTTAAATATACAGCTTAATAATATTTAGCTTATGAAGTCCTATCATATTTTTATTATTCACTGCCTTGTTTACTGATTATCTCTTCTCTTATTTATGACCTACCTTGCTCCATATAACCTAATACACTCGTATTGCACCATGTATGTTACTCATATTGTGAAACTTCGAAGTGGACATAACGATAATTTTGTCTAACAGGCTTGGGAACTTTATGAGGAGAGAAAATTGTTGGAGTTTGTAGATCCTGACATGGAAGAGTTTCCTGAGGAAGAGGTAATGAGATACATGAAGGTTGCACTTTTCTGCACACAGTCAGCAGCAAGTAGAAGGCCTTTGATGATACAAGTTGTTGATATGCTATCCAAGGCAATCCAACTCAATGAGAAAGAACTTACAGCACCAGGATTCTTCACAGATGGAGAATCTTCTAGAAGGAACTCACGCCCCGTGGCTTCTACTACCTCTCATGTTGCTATTACTCAGGTCACCCCACGGTGATGCGGATTGCAGCTTTGTCAATGGAGTAAAAGAAGTAGTAGTTTAATTTTTTTTTTTTAATATTATTTGACTGTCTTATATATATATATATATATATATATATATATATATATATATATATATATATATATATATATATATAATTCTTTTTTTTCATTCTTGTTATTAAAATATATAACATGGCATGAAAGCAATTTCGTGCTACTGCATGTTGAAACGGGTGTAGCATGTATGATATACCATACATTTATTAAGTGCTCATGGATGACAAATACAGAGATTAGCTGAGCTGCTAATGACTTTCTACCTGTCATGTGCCTTGGTAATAAAGTCAATGACAGGACTTTGACTTTGTGATCTGAACTGGGAAAATCCATCAAAGAAAAAGAATAATGCATTTATTATTAATTTAAAATGTATTAAACTTAAAAGGTGTTTTAATTTAAATAAATGATTTTCACCTTTCACTTTACCAATACTTCTTCATTTTCGTAAGTCAAATCCTAAAACTTGTACAATTATAAAATCAAGTAACTAGAGAAAGTTCGAAACCTCAGTACTAAAACATTTTTTACTGTCCAGTTTATTCAATATATTTTAAATTTTAGTAATTTATTGAATTATCAATAAGACAAATAATTGTAATAGATAACATAAGTTTAAACTAATATTATTGATACAAATGAAAACTACTTAGTGTTTAACTAAGTGATCTAAAAAAATTGTACTGATGTGTTTTTAAAAGGATATTTGTTAATAAAAATTACTTAAAAATAAAAATAAATATTAAGTGAAGAAAATCACCAGTAATATTTATAATAAAATATTTAATTTTATTTTTAAATAATTTTTATTAAAAATTTCCTTAATTAATTTAAGAGAAAAAGACTAACTTAACCCTCACCTGGTCCACTTAAAATAAGGTGTGCAACATTTATGAATATATTACACATGATGAACAAATATGTTGGAATTTATTTTCAAAAAAAATTTGAAGACCAAAATTAACCTCTTCAAAGAACCAAAAACCAAATTTAATCAGAGCTAATAAAATTTAATTTTACAGTACATACAACGAAATTCGGATCAGGTACATAACATAACGAAAATTTTAACATCGGAAATATAGTCTATTTGACACCACTAGAAAGCAATCCCAACAGATACTCTTTCTGTCTAAAAGGATGTATCTAAACCCATGGTCATTGAATCTCCACGTCATAATTGATTCATACAAAACCTCAAAGTTGGTAATAAAATGCAACCAATAAGCATTAGAAACTAATAGCAGGGCAAAAAGATTCATTAAAGACTGCAGGTGGAGAAAGAGATGACAGAAGAAAGATTGAAGGGGAACCGAGGTATGATAAGCAAAATCATACAACAGGCTGCTCCTCAGTGGCAGTAGCATCTTTCTGGGGTTCGTCTGCAGCGCCATTAGAGGCAGCATCCTTTGGTTGTGAAGCAGGTGCACCTTCTGCTGCAGATCCAGTTGCTTTTGATGCTTTCTCTTTTCCATCCTTACTGTCTTTGGCATCTTTAGCAGGAGCAGGTGGTGGAGGAATCATGTGAGGTGGTGGTGTATGCTTCAGCTTTAACAGTATTTGCCGCAACCTAGACAGATCCGTTGGTTTGCCAGGCTTTGGGCCTTGAATGACTGTAATCGATGGCTTCTTGTCCTGATCCTTTTTACCTCTTTTCTTCTCAATGTTGGGAACTTCCCGGGGAATGAGCTCTGCAATTGATTTCCAATAAGCTTTGTCTGCCTCTTTGTGAAACTTCTCTTGATTAGCCAAGAATAACTGTTCCACAGAAAAAAATTCATTCTCTACAGTCAAGGGAAGAGGAAAAAAAAAAAAATACATCTGGCGAAAGATAATGTCATGAAACAAGTAAAAAGTACCTTCTCCCTTTCTCTATTTTGAACTTTGCTAGATTCAACATTAACCTTCCTCTTCTCATAGAAAGCCACCTTATACTCCTCAGCTTCTTCAATAATCTTCAATCTCATCTCTTTTTCCCTTTTCTCCTTCTCTTCTAGCAGAATGGCATTTTGACTGCACAAGGAAAGCCAAAGTCATTCGTTTTAAATCAACTTACAATAGATCTTAATATTTATTGATCGAAGATGAGAGAATGAGAAAATGATTGTTCTTTCATCAAGTTCACAATTAATTTTGCCTCCCATAATTATATAAAGTGGAGATTTAGATTAATCCCAATTATTTTTTTTAGTTAAAGTTAATTAATGATATTAACTTTACTAATGTAACAGGAACATACTATCTTAAGCGTTTACTAAAAACAGTACTTGGCAGGTCTTTTTGGATACCTAAAATATTATATACTTTATCTAGGCTCCAAAAAAGATAACATGTTGCCTGTTTAAGCAGTGCATCATGCCATTAACATAAATATTAGATCCTAAATTCAGGATTGCTAATTGACCATAATTATGTGGTAAATAGGTAAAACAATGCCAATTAGCATTTCTAGCAAGATCAGTTTCACGATAAATCAAACATTACAAGATTTTCATTCCCATATCAAATGCTTGTGCGTCATTGGTAAAATTGATAAGACAAACCATAGACATTAATGACAGATACCAGGGTGTAGAAGCCAATTCTCAAAAGGCTATAGCATAATAGGGGAATGTGGATAGCTGCCATTTTAAGTATCATTAATTATTATTATTACAAACTAAATACTTTATACTACACATGAATATTCAAAAGCAAACAAAAAATTAACGAAATTCATGGTTGTTGAGTATAGAGAAAATAGGGTTTGGAATTAATTTCCCTTGTGTATAAATCACACATAGGGTGGTCTATTTATAGTAGAGAGATACAACTAAAAGAGTAACTGAAAGTAACAGAATAAACAGAAGATATTATTTGATATTGTGGTTACCAATATCTAACAATATCTTAACAATATCAAATAATATCTAAACAATATCTAACACTCCCCCTCAAGCTCGGAGCATATAAATCATATGTGCCAAGCTTGTTACAAATATAATCAATTCTAGGACCCTGTAAAGATTTAGTAAAAATATATGCTAACTGATCACTTGAGTTAACAAACTCAGTCTTGATATCTCCAGACATAATCTTTTCTCGAATAAAATGACAGTCAATCTCAATGTGTTTGGTCCTCTCATGAAAGACAGGATTAGAACTAATATGAAGAGTAGCCTGATTGTCACACACAAGTGTCATTTGAGTGATATCTCCAAATTGTAACTCTCTAAGCAATTGCTTGAGCCAAACAAGTTCACAGGAAGCTGAGGTCATAGCTCTATATTCTGCTTCTGCACTGGATCTTGCCACAACACTTTGTTTCTTACTTTTCCATGAAATCAAGTTACCACCAATGGAGACACAATATCCAGAATCAGCATCTGAGTAGCAAACAACTCTTGTATGGTTATTAGAACCATATAACAATCCTTTTCCAGGAGATCCTTTAATATACTTCAAGATACGAATGATCGCATTCCAATGATCTTCACATGGTGAATTAAGAAATTGACTTACCACACTGATCGCAAAGGAAATGTCGGACGAGTAATCTGTAAGATAATTCAATTTTCCAACCAATCTTCTATACCTGCTCAGGATCGATATAGACTCCCCCGATTTGGTAGAAGTTTAGTATTGGGATCCATGGGTGTATCAACAGACTTTGAACTCATCAACCCAGCTTCCTCCAAAATATCTATGGCATACTTCCTCCGAGATATAACAATACCATCATTGGACCGTGCTACCTCAATACCCAAGAAATATCTAAGTTTGCCAAGATCTTTGGTCCGAAAATGGTGACAAAGATGTTGTTTCAACCGAGAGATGCCATGGTTGTCACTACCTGTAAGAACAATGTCATCAACATATACTATCAAGTAAACACATCCAAGCACTCGAGTGTCGATAAAAGACAGAATGATCCGATTCACACCGAGTCATACCAAATTGTTGAACAACCTTGCTAAACTTTCCAAACCAAGCCCTAGGAGACTGTTTTAGGCCATATAGGGATTTGCGAAGACGACATACCATCCCAGAAGACTCCCCCGAGCAATAAACCCGGGAGGTTGCTCCATATATATTTCTTCTTGCAAATCACCATTGAGAAAAACATTTTTAACATCCAAGTTGATAAAGAGACCATTGTTGAAGAGCAGACCATGGCGATAAATAAACGAACGAAGCCATCTTTGCCACGGGGAAAAGGTATCTCCATAATCCAACCCAAAAATTTGAGTATATCCTTTGGCCACAAGACGAGCTTTGAGGCGATCAATAGTACCATCGAGTCCAACTTTGATAGCAAACACCCATCTCGCAACCAACAACAGATTTCCCAGACGGTAATCGGGACCAATTCCCAAGTTCCACTATTATGAAGAGCACTTAGTTCATCTAACATGGCCTGACGCCAACCAGGATGGGCTAAAGCTTCACTGACGCTTTTGGAATGGTCACGGAAGAAATAGAGGAAAGACATGTATAAAAAGGTAATGACAATCGATGATAACTCAAAGCAATATAATGGGGAGAGGGATTACGTGTAGAACGAATACCTTTTCTGAGGGCAATGGGAAGGTCGGACTCATGTGTCGGATCCGGAGGAGACAGAGTAGTTGGCACTTGAGTAGAGTCACATGGTGGTGGTTGTGATTGGTTTCGAGAACTATAAATCGAAGAGGCAAGTGGAGAAGAAGCTAACTGCAGGAGCAGGAACTAATGGTGAAGAAGACACAGCTAGAGGGTCACAAACAACAAGAACATTAAATGTATTAGGAGTGTTGACAAGATTGGATGGAGACGAGGGTGAAGTTTGACTTTTAAAATAAAGAGACAACTCATCAAAGGTGACATCTTTTGACACAAAATAACGGTTAAGAGAAGGAGAAAAACATTTGTATCCTTTTTGTGATCTTGTAAACCCTAAGAAAACACATTTATGTGATCTAGGAGAAAGCTTGTCCAGCACCGGAACCGAAATTATGAACAAAACATGTAGATCCGAAAACTTTCGTGAGATAAAGGATGAATTGGTTCATGAGGGAATAAAATGGAATGAGGTATTTTATTATCTAAAACCGAAGAAGGCATGCGATTAATGAGATAACATGCAGTAAGAAGAGCATCACCCCAAAAATGTTGAGGAACATCTCCATGAATTAAAAGTGTGCGAGTTGTTTCAATAAGATGTCTATTTTTACGTTCAGCCTACACCATTTTGTTGAGGTGTATAAGCACAAGAAGTTTGATGCAAAATACCGTGAGAAGCCATGAATTGTTTAAAAGAATGAGAAAGATATTCACTGCCATTATCACTACGCAAAACTCTAATAGAAACACCGAACCGAGTTTGAATTTCATTAAAAAAAGTTTGAAAGATATGAAATAATTCGAACGATTTTTCATCAAAAATAACCAAGTGCATCTGGAATAATCATCAATGAAAGTAACAAAGTATTGAAAACCTAAAGTAGACTTAACGCGGCTAGGTCCCCAAATGTCAGAGTGAACCACGGCAAAACGGGACGAAGCACCACGTGTGAAACTACGAGGAAAGGAAGTACGACTATGTTTGTCTAATTGACATGACTCACACGCCAAACTAGATAAGTTAGACAAGACAGAGACAAGTTTCTGTAACTTGGCAAGACTTGGATGACCTAACTGAGCATGAAGAAGAGAGGGAGACTCCATAACTGTACTAACATGTGTAGAGGGACGGAGATAATAAAGACCATGAGACTCACATCCTGTGCCAATCACCTATTTCGAACTCCGGTCCTGTAAACACACAAAATTGTTGGTAAAAGTAACGACACAATCTAGAGAACGAGTTAGACGACTGATGGACAACAGGTTAAAAGGAGACCCAGGGACATAAAGAACATTATCAATGGTTAAAGAAGGAAAAAGTTTAACCGTTCCAACACCATGAGATGATACTCTAGAGCCATCGACCAAGTGTAACGTAAGGTAAATGATTAGGAGAGGATAAAGAGGAGAACAAAGATTTGTTACCAGTAATATGATAAGTGGCTCCTGAATCAAAAACCCAAGGACCAGGAGAAAATGATTGGGTCAGACCAGCAAAATATGTATTTGTATGTGTGACAGATATAGTGGAACTAGAAGACTGTTGATCCTTATACCATTCGAGAAATTTGTTGAACATAGCAAACATGTCAGATGCAACAGAAGAAGGAAGATCCCCTGCAGATAAAGATGGGGAAAGATTGGTCTGAACAACTACAGCAGACTGAGGAGGACGACCATGTAATGTATAACACTTGTTAATCTTGTGACCTAGCTTGCCACAATGTTCACACTTAGGACGCCCTTTTTCCTGTTTGCGAGGGCGAGCCCGGTCATCACGATGGGATGTCAACAAAAAAGAATCGTTAACAAAATTGGAAATAGTAGAAGAAGTCATGAAGAGCGGGAGAACAAACCCTAAAACAATCCAAAGTAATCCAATCAACCCACGAAGCACAAATCCAAAATGAGAATACTAAAAATAAGTTCGCCAAGACTAAACGGTGCAAGAGACAATGGGACGACCAACTCCGATAGTGGTCATCTTAATGGCACGGTGGTCACCTGACCAAGACAAGCAAAATCATATGTCACCGGTAAAAAAAAATGAAACTCCGGCGAATTCTCCGACAACGGTGGACCTGTGGATCGCTCCAATGCAGACGGTGACGATGAACGTGAACTAATACACTAGGTAAGTTCCCAGGAAAGAGAGGTGGGTCACTAATGGACACACTTAAATACCAAGTTTTTCCTTGCCAAAACTTTCCTAAACATGCACTTTCACACTACCAAATAAAATTCAATGACAAAAATAATTCTTTTCTGATGTGGAGGATCAGTTTACCAGCAGCGGTGGGGCGGCTCTAGCAGCGGTGGGGCGGCTCCAACAGTGGACAAAAGGCAAAAAAAAAAAAATTCAAGATAACCTTAAGCTCTAGATACCATGTTGAGTATAGAGAAAATAGGGTTTGGAATTAATTTCCCTTGTGTATAAATCACACATAGGGTGGTCTATTTATAGTAGAGAGATACAACTAAAAGAGTAACTGAAAGTAACAGAATAAACATAAGATATTGTTTGATAATGTGGTTACCAATATCTAACAATATCTTAACAATATCAAATAATATCTAAACAATATCTAACAATGATAAATAATAAGACAAAGTTTATACACATAGCAAAATCATCGGTCTAGGACATTAATAGAAAAAAAAACTAATTAATAAAACATTAGCAGAAAGTGAAGTCAAAAGGGGGGGAAATATTGGAACAAAAGAAAAAATAGTCCTGTAAAGTGTGAAGGAACACAGGTCAAGAAAGGTAAATTTTTGTGGGATGGTCAAGGAAGAAGGGTTTCAAATCCATGTTATGCTTTTTGAAGTTGTCAGGGGTAAATGGATTTTTGAACTCCTTATATCATGGTAGTGCTGCCATAACAGACAAAAAGCTGCTGTTTTGAGAACTATTACAGCCCCAACGATCGCTATTGAAAACTGTTCTATCAGCTAGGTCTGCTGTAATACTCCACTATAAGAGCTGCCATAATATGAGAGAGAGAATATTGAAAATCCATATAAATCAAGGAGGGAAAGTTCAGTGGTCAAATATCTATTACTCCCTCAAAGCACATGGAAGGAAGAAAAGAAAAGGACATTTATTTAAGATGCACACTGAACTAAATTGTATAAATATAAAGTATAATTTCCTTACTCTATTCACAAAAAACCAATCAAAAGGATCCTATGCAACCCTCATCAAGATTTATCATCGTTTAAGTTAATTATAAGTTGTTTGACTGACCTATGCTCAACAGTCAACAAGGGTCAACTTTAGCATATAATCAAATTATCATCTCATTCCCAAGGATAAGGAGTCAAACAATGATCATTTCCCAGCCAACATCTAATCATACTAAGTGGTCACACAGACAAATCCCTAAAAACCATCAAATCACAAAGGACTGGAATCCAGTCCGAACCGCAACCTTGAATTTTTCACGCCACACAATTTACCCTAAAAGTAACAACTACACAATAATTATAGACTATAGAAATCCATCATCCATGAGTGAAAAATTAATCACCCCTTCCCTTATTATTCTCCAAACTTTCTCCATCCAAACATAGACTGACAAATGATGGATATAAATCAATTCTACCCTATTCCCTGGCATTCAAACACAGACACCCTAAATCTCTGCGAAATAATCACAACTACATATCTCACACAGCTCAACTAACAGCTTCAAGTGAAATCGTATTAACCTAAGTTCACCAATTCATTTTCTACAACTAAGATCACGCTTTCCCACTCCCGATTCACAATCCTAATTGCTTACTAGCAACCGCAAAACATTTAGCCAGAAATTTTCTTGATTGAAGTAAAATCATCGCAGATCTAAGAAGATTCAATCGAGATCCAACGAATTCACGAAACGGAAAAGGAAATGGCGAAGAACCACTCACCGGCGCCACTCGCGAAGAGCGTAACCTTCCTCCGGCTCCATCTCAGTCGGCGGAGGAAGCACCGGACCATCGGAGACGAAAACGCCGTCGCCGTCACCGTATCCGTTCCCGTTTTCATTTCCGTTCTCCACGGAGGCCGATTCGAAGGGAGACTGAGAGTAACCCGGATTCGGATCAGTGAATCCGTAGATCTCTGGCGAAGCGGCGGCAGAGTGATCGACGGCGACATCGCCGTCGGCTGAAAAACCTCCGGTGAAGGAGGAGTAGCCGCCGTAGCCGGAGAAGTTGTCCTCGTCGTCTTCGTGTTGGTGAGTGGAAGAAGAGTTGACGTTCAAGTCATCAGTGAAGGCATCGAAGGAAGACATGTCTGTGACTGCGAGTTTATCTCTCTAGAAATGGGTTTCTCTCTCTTATGTGAAACGCAAATGATGGGAACCCTGTTGCTTTGCTTTGACGGAGGTTCACCACTGCCTCTAAACTCTCTTCCACTTTTTAAATACTTAACGGTGAATAATAATAAAAAAAGAAAATGTGACAAAATAAATATTACGAAATATATATGACAAAAATTTTAAAAATTTAAGTTTGACTAATATAAAATAATATAATATTTTACATCAAAATAAAAATTTAATTTGGATAACAAATTTATCGGTTGTTCTTTATCTTATTAATAATTAGTAATTGTTAACTTTTTATAATATAAAATTATTTTATAAATATATTTTAAATAATATAAATAAATTTAATTTTTTATTTATTAATTAATATTTTTATTAAGTAAATTATTATATTTATTTATTAAAATAATTAATTATAATTAATAATTAAATTTAATTAATTAATATTTATAAATTAAATTGCGATATTATATTATATTTATAATTTTTTAAATTTTAATATATAAATATTTTTTTGTAAATAATAATCGAGTATCGTTTACCATAATGTTAATGAGACAAATTAATAAACTAAAATTCTCATCTGTTTCGTGGTTTTTAAGGGAGACATTCCACAAAATCTATTACATTTTGTTGTTCTTGAATTTAATTATTACACACAAAAAAACGAAACCCTCAATCAATTAAAATTAATAGATTTTACGCTAATTATTATAAAAACAAATTTACCATAATTTTGTATTTAGACAACAGTATATAACGAAAACGATAGTCTATGTTCTATTTTATTTTTTAATAGTGAAAAATATTTGAGATTATATAATCATGATAGTCATGTAAGATCTGTTACTTAACAACTTAATTTTGTAGTTTGTATCTTAATTGATTTTAAATAGTTGGATTGTATCTTAACATATTGGTTTTTAAAGAATAAAATATTTTGAGAACTTTTTCTTCGCCTACTACATCCGTGTTAAATAACTAGCTTAACATTGATTCTAATAGTTTCGATGTATATTTGATGGAAAAATCAAGTGGATTAAAATGAATGATTCATTAGAAGAATAAGTTTAAAAGTAGAAAAGAAATATTGATATGGACTATGCAGAAAAAGTCATATTTTTTTTTATCTAGGCAGTATTAATTATGTAGAAAAGAAAAGTATAATTGAGGTATCTTATTATTTTATTTGATACAAATTAATTTTGAAAATAAATATTGTTTAGGAGTTTTGCAAATGCCTTTTTGAATATAAGATTTTACTTTTGCCATATAAATTTTTCGTGCTCTCTGTTTTAATTTTATACGGAAAATTAAATGAAGATTAAAGTAGTGGTTGGTAACAATAAATGATGATTGACATATGTTTAATAGGGTGCATGAAGTTTAATGCCCTTCAGAAATTCAGCATTGACTAAGATGGAAAAAGATCAAACAAAATGTGAGTGATGAACTTAATATATATATATATATATTTGAAGATATATAATGACGTGGATTATTGAATACATTTAAAGATAATTTATTCATTAGGTGTAAAAGAACTCATAAAATAGATTAGGTTTATCATTCCATCTACTACCAATTTGGTAACATGGACCCATATTTTTAGTATGTTGTCTAGCTGGTCTCATTTTTTTAATATTAAATTAATATATTAAAATCAAAAGATAGATTATTATTTTCAATATTATAATTTTTTAATATTTAAATAATAAAAATATAAAATAATATACAATTTAAATCATAAATATTTATAAATTAAATTTTAATTATTTATTTTAACGAAGTAATTTAACATGTAAAAATATCAATTAATCAATAAAATCTTAGAATACATGTATAATTTATAAGTTTCTTCTATTTTCCGTACAAACAGATTAAAATAAGATAACATTTTTGTAATTAAAAAATTAAAAGAAATCAGAACACAAAAAAGCATGTAAATGCATCTACACAACACAACCACACATTTCCTATTTGAGAAATAATCCTAAAAATAATATATTTAATAAAAAACTACGCTTAATTCAATATTATTATCCTTACGGGCATCATTAATTAATGAAACGGTAAAGCAGACATTAATTTGAAGGATTTATGCATTTCGGTTAGAATAACTCAAGAAGCAAAACCCATAAAAACAACACCAAGTGTTATTATTGTATTGAAATATTTATTTGAATTTATTTATCTAAATAGATTTGTTTATTGTTTATACGTAATTTTTATTTTTTTCTTTACAATTTTTTTTCTATTTTATCATTCATCATTGTTTTTAAATTACATTTTTCTTCTCTCTCACTTTTTCCTTATTCTCTTAATTTAATTACTATTTTAAAATTTAATAAAAAAATGTTAAACACAAATATTTTTTAAAAAATATTAAAAATAAAAAATATTACTAATAATTTAAAATTATGATAATGTAAATAATTAATTTAAAATTATTTTATCATAATAAATAATTATTCATCTAATTAAAAAAAATAGCAATAAAATGTAATTTTTATTTAATAATTACATCTAGTTATAATAATTTTATTATTCATCTAATTAAAAATATATAAAATGTTTAGCAATAAAATGTATTTTTTATTTAATAATTACATCTAGTTATAATAATTCTTAATTATGATAATTAATTAGATTTGGTAAATTTTAAAAATATTTATTAAAATTTATTTAAAAATAAATATTTTATTTTTTTCTTAATAATTATAGCATAATAATAACATTTATAACCACTCAAATTTATCATATAATATTTTTAAAATATAATATATTAAATTGTAATATTTCTGAATTACTTAAATTTTTTATTTTTCAAAAATAATAAAATATTTATATTATCAAAAATTAATTTACTATTTTTAATTGAAGAATAAGATGGAGAGAAAAGAACAAAAGAGAAAAAAGAGAAACAATTAAATAAAGTAATTTTATACATAAACAATAAAAAATAATTAGATAAAAAAACCTAACATTTTTTGTTTAAGTAATTTTTTTAAAATATATTATTTATTATATTGATTCTTATACGGAACAAATCCTATGACAAAACTGTTAGAAAAGTAGTTTTAGATCAAGAGGGGTGAATTGATCTTTGAAAGTTTTTCGCAAATAACGAGATAATCTAATTCAAAAATTAAGTTTACAGATCTGTTCTTGAATTTCAAAGCAATCAATCAAAATAATGCGAGCAACGAATTTAAAGAGAGAAATGTTAAGAAAGATATCACCTAGGTATTTTATACTTGGTTCACCCAATACCAGGGTTACGTCCGAGTCTCGACCAAATTTCAATTTGGTTCCACTAGATTAAATGTTTTACAGATTCAACAATCTTACACCTAATCTATCACAAGAACCAAATTCCAGTTCCTGCACTCAACCTCTCACCAAGAACCAAATTCCAGTTCTTGATAACCTCTACAACCAAATTTCAGCTGCAAAGAAACCAGTGCCCAAATTCCAGCACCAACACCTAACCTTTCACCAAGAACCAAATTCAAGTTCTTGATAACCTCTACAACCAACTTCCAGCTGCAGAGAAACTAGTACCCAAATTCCAGGCACCACACAGTACAAAAGAATGAAAAAGAATTGAAAAAGAAGAAACTAGAAAGCTCAAACCAGTTTATGCTATTCTGCAGTGAGTTTCTTCTTTAAAGAAAAGCAATATGCCTCAAGAAAGATTTTCAAAGAGCTTCTAAAAAACTGACGCGAATCTTTCTTGAAAAGAGTGCTTAAGTTTGCTTGATTGATTGCTCAAGGATGTGTAAAAACTTATATGTAAAAAGTTCCAAGCAACTCTGTTTTTAAAGAAGATTTTCAAAACTGCTGCATTTATTAATATGTTAAAAGTTTGTTTTAATCTGTTAAAAGTGCAGTTTTAATCCGTTAAAACTTCTTTTAATCCATTAATACGTTCTTGATTCTTTAACAAATTTGTTTTAACTGATACGACAACGTTTATATCAATCTAAAACACTTTACGTAAAATCTTCTAAGTTTATTTAATCGATTGTTTCGCGATTCAATCGATTTAAATACTTGTAAAACTTTCTTGTAAAACTTTTCAAGTTATTTTAATCGATAAAAATAGGTTTTAATCGATTAAAACTCTATACATAATTTTTCCAAGTTGTTTTAATCGGTTAAAACGTGTTTTAATCGATTGAAAGAGTTCTGATCGGTCATAACTCAATTCTGATCGATCATAACTGATTCTGATTGGTCATAATTGCATTCTGATCGATCATCCCAAACCTTTAAGTGATTTTAATCGATTGAAACGTGTTTTAATCGATTGAAAAAATTCTGATCGCTCATAATTTAAATCTGATCGATCACATCTGATTCTAATCGGTCATATTTGTATTATGATCGATCATAATGAGTTCTAAATGGATTTAATCGATTAAAATCAAGTTGTATCGATTAAAATACTGTAAAAACACTTCTTTGAACATTCTAAATGATTTTAATCGGTTCTTTCAAAACTATATCAGTTAAAAACATGTTTGAGAAATCTTTTGTCAAAATACTTTGTATTTGATTGTTTAAAATGATTTTAGAGGCATTTTGCAAAGTCATTTAAGTGAAAAAACCTCATGCAGCAGAAAAGATAAAATGATTTTACCTAAGCATTCTGTAGATACACTAATCCTTCTACTTTTTTGTCTAAGTGACTTATTGACCGCTGCAAAGTTGACTTTTGACTTCATCTTTGACTTCATCAAATCAATGAGATCTTTGCCAAAGTATTTCAATAAGATCTTCATCAATTTCAAAAACTAAAATTCATTTCCATTCTGCATAGTTCTCAACAGAAAATGTTTCGTCCAACTATGCTAAAAATAACAAAAAATTAAGAAAGTAGTGCCAATAGCACCCTGCTCCTACTTGTGGTATAATTCCCAACAAAAAGTGCTTCTACTATTTCCCAAGAATTGGTACATTCTCATTAATAAAAAACATAAAAATTGATGCATGCACGATCTCACCGAATCCTCAATGTTTTTGTTAATAATACTGCGTCAGTACTTCATTTTCCAATTAGGCCTACACTACACGCCTACATGTTGCAATTTTGTTGAAAAGTTCAATTATTTCCACATTCGTTCAAGATTTCAAGGAGATAATCGTCATCAATATTGTATACATAACAGCAATACAAAACATTGACAAGAAAAAACTGATTTACCAATCGTAAACGCATATAGTTCTTTAAAATCATTCAAGGGTCATTTTATTTATCATTGCCCAATTAGACCGAAAAAGCATCAGGCAAGGATCACGTAGTACAATTTAGCGGTAAAGGCTTTCAGATTTCAGGTTCTCTGCAATTTCAGTCTCCCATCGGTCCCCATTTTCGAGCAGCTTCTCTTTGTCATATAAAAGCTCCTGCAACAGGTAAGACACAAAACCAAAAGTAATTAAATATGAGAATAAACAGTTACTGGCATGTACTAATAATATAGTAGTTAAACGTATATTTATAATAAAGAACATTAGAGACAATTGTTAGCAAGTAACAACAGATCGTATTCAAATAATTAAATGTAAAGGACATAAAAATGAACCTCATGAGTCTCTGTAGCAAATTCAAAGTTTGGCCCTTCTACAATGGCATCAACAGGGCATGCCTCTTGACAAAATCCACAATAGATGCACTTGGTCATGTCAATATCATACCTGAAAGATTTAACAAATAAGAGACCAAGAGTGGAGTGTACGAAGGAGAAGAGTCCAACGGGCCAGATAAGGCAGGTAATTTACCGTGTTGTCCTGCGGCTGCCATCTTCTCGCTCCTCAGCTTCAATTGTGATTGCTTGTGCAGGACATATCTAATAAAAAATATTATTTAGAGAAAATAATAAAACAGTTGCTGACTCTACAGACAGGAAGAACAGAAATGGGGGAAAAGTATGAAAAAGGGGAAAGAAGACATGGAAAAGGAATATTAGGAATGCAAAAATATGTAATGGATTGATCATTCGTTGTAATTATTAATTAGGGTATTCATATACAGATTATAGCTCATTTGTTTGGGGTTAGCTGGTACCTACCTTCTTGTTCTTTTTAGCACTATCTGGATTTCACCATTTTGAGACCGCCACATGGTTTGAGCTCAAAACCTATGGTGGCTGAATTGCTATCCAGACATTCTCCTTAACCCCCTATATATATATATATATATATATATATATATATATTAATGTGCTTTTACCCCTATGCTCTACAATCTCTATTTGTTTATCCTCCGTAGAGGGATAATGCTGCAGAAGTACCACTGTCTCGGTCAAGAATTGCTATTATCTATATTATTATATAAAAAGGAATATATTTTTTTATAAATGTTTTTGGTGTCAATTTTTAATTAAACAAATTTATCTTACCTAATTAAAATAATTTTGTTATTTGATCAAATAAATATCTACTGAACCTCTCCACTCAAAAGTAACTACCACAAATGTCAATGTTGTTCAACGATTCACAAGTGGACATAGTTCTCTCACACTATCAAATCTTCATATTTCTCTAAGAATATTTTTTAAACTATTCTCATATTCATCCATTTTTCTAATAGATTTTTTTAAAACTGTATTATTTTAATATGAGAGAAATACAACTGCTAGTTGCTGTATAGGAAAATATACCCATTACAGCCTCCTACAAGGATAAGAGGGGGTTGACTTCACAGCAATATTAGGGACAGCTTGATTAGATGGATTTCTATCACTTAGTAATTGCAATTTGCAATATATTTTCCTACACCTGATTCAATTAATGAGGCACAGATTCATAAACCTACCAAGAGTCCAAGCCTTACACTTTGTGGAGTCTGGGTGTCTCACAAATAAAAACAGATGCACATTTATTTCCACATTAACCAACGACATGCTACACTTAGTAAAATCCACCACAAGAGGAATATACAAAATAGTTTTAAAATTGGCCAGTTTATGAAAGAAAGAGGAAAATGCTGTCCTGTAGTTGTATGCCATTGGGTTTATTCATGCTCTCAAGGATCACTGTCAAACCAAAATTAAATAATCAAAGCCTTACAGCTTCACAAAGTTTGCAAGCAATACAACGTTCCTCCCCTGTTGGATATCGTCGGAGTGCATGCTCACCACGGAATCGGGGGCTCAAAGGGCCTTTCTCAAATGGATAATTGATCTGCATTGTATGTGTCATGCATTAAGCATTTAATTAGAAGAGCAGTATTGGTCCGCAGACAGTTTCAGAAGACACTTACTGTAACTTTTGTCTCAAAGAAGTATTTCAGAGTCAGCATTAGACCTCGAACCATTTCAGTGAGAAAAAGTGTGTTGATGCTTCGTTCAAAAACTGTCATCCAGATCACCAGCAATAAATTAGTTTCATTATAGAAAAGGTCAAAAGGAACAACTATCAAACTGAAAAATAAAGGCTTCCAAATTAATACCTGAACTCCAATCCTTTGAAATTTCCTTCGCAAGTTGCTCCCTTTGTTCATCCTCTGTAGTTTGTGCATCTCAAAATTATGACATATATGATGAGGGGAGCGAGGGCATAAATACATGACCATGCATGAGAAAAGCAAATGGAGATCCAATAGATATCTCAATTTACAGACAAATGGTCATGCTAGTGAAGGTATTTTCTCAAGTTAAAGAAATGTTGCGTTTGGTCACTATACACAATGATGAAAAGTCATTCCTTTGACCCACGTAATTATCTGCTTTTTAGGAGGGTTAGAGGGTGTTAAAATGAGGAACTAGGTAAAAACTCACAGGGACAGTATCACATGAGGAGGGGGGAGTGGAGTGCATTGCAGTGTTTCAAGGAATACATAGTTAAGTATATTTTTTAATTGTACATGTGGACCCAGCTCATTACCCCCTTTCAAGAATTTCATTTATTGAACAGTACAAACTATGAAGAACCAAAAACTGGATCATTATTGTTATGCAACAGATAATTTGGCGCAGAAAGCAATCAAAATTTATATTCAGCCAGTCCTCAATAACTTTGCGTTCTAAGTTCTAACCAGTCTCTAAGAGTGCAGAAAATATGCCCACAAAGATGATAAGAGAAATAACAGACCTAGTTTGGTAGAGTAGGAGTGTGCACTTAATCGAAGCCCATAGGATTGGGAGCTGTGCAGCCCTTGACCGCTTACAGCCTAAACAAGAAGAAAAACAAGGGATAGTATTAAGTATTAACCTACAAATATTTGGCATCCTACAATTAAAATGATCCATATCTAATTCTATTCTAATAAATTCACAGCAACCTCTTACATATTATCCAGTAAATTATTATTTAAGAGCACCAGTGCATCACATAACCAGAAAGAAATCAGAATAACAGCGAAAGAATCGAGTTCACAGCTTGAAGGAAGGATGTGAAGAAATATAGGGTATTCAGATAAAATTTGGTTTCTCAACTGAATCAACATCTAATCAAGAGTTTTATTTCGCTTGTTTCTTTCATTTCCAGAAATAAAGATGAATCAAAATCAGAATAATGTTACCAATTGGCGGGCACGAAGAGCAAGGAGTGATTTCCGAGCTAAGATTGCAGCCATTCCCTAAACCTGGAAATGAAAAACTAGAGAATCAAATGCAGTATACTGTTGATTTCAAATTGAATAGTTAAGTTCGAGCGAAACAATTATTTACAAGGATTCGAACGTATAACCAGAAACCGAAAAAGTGGGAAGAGAATATTGAATTAAAGGGGTAAACAGCAGTGGTTGATACATACAAGCTAATATTGAGAAACAGCGCGAAAATTTAAGTAATAGAAGGAAGGGAGAATTTGTAAGGGTTCCGCATTGAATTTTGATGGTTCAAGTGTTTGAGAAAGGAAAAAGAAGCGAAGAGAAATACCTGATGCAAGGTTGATCTCTGAAAAAAATGTCGGAGGAGAATCATAGAACGGTAACGGAGAATAAAATATTTGTTAGTGTTTAGATTCGCACAACACAATGGGCCAACAAGAACAGCCCAGCCCAGCCCAACATGATCCGGCCCAACCTATTCATTGTCATGGGTATTTAATTGTTGATTTATTTTTACAGTAATTCTTGAGAAGTTAGTTCTGTTCTGTCATAATTTTTTTTTTCTTCAATAAATTTGACTACAATGTAACCACATGTGAACGTGTGAGTTACTGCTAAACAACAGTTACTTTATTTGTTTATTACCTTTATTTCTAACCACGTTTAAGTTTAAATATCTTGTTATTAATATGGAATATTACAATTTGTAGTTCTTTAAAAAACCCAAATTTAAGTTATTGTCTAGAAAAGAATAGAGTAAAATATCATCCATATAAAAAATTTAATATAATATAGTTCATTCTAATTTTTATTATAATCCTATTTCCAAAGACATCTTTACAATAAGTTATTTTAAATAAAAATATTATTTTAATATAGACTTGGTAGAAGATTAAAATTTGAGATAATTATTATATAAATAACTTTTTTTCTCAATTTTAAGTAATTTGGTTTCTTAGGATTTTTTATACAAATAATTGACGTGTTATATTACTGAGATTGTTACAAATCAATACTTATGACTAAATAAAGTTAAATAATTGAGATTAAATTTAACTTAATTTTAAAATTATATTATATATATATTTTTTTAAATAATTTGTCTAAGTAATTTTTTTAAAAATATGTAAGATAAATATGTGAAAAAAAAATATATGAAATATAATGAAAATTTTATTTATTTATTTAAAAATAAAATAATATTAAAAAGAGGTGTTGTTTCAAAATAAATAAATGAATTAAAACTTAATATTGATCCAATTACAAATTACTTGTAAAACTATTAATTATTTTTTATAAAATAACTTTTTAAATTAATATTTTATTACAAAAAATATTTTTTAATAATATATTATTTTGATAAAATACTATTACATTAAAAAATATATATTAAATTATTTATTTAGTTTTTACAAGCATTTTCATATTTATATACTCTATCAAAATAATATAATTAAAAATTAAATTAATACATAAATTGAAATTATTAACAAAAAATAATTATTCATTTAAGTAAAAATAATTTTATAAATAATACTTTTCACTCTTGTATAAATGAAAGAAAGAGTAAGTTTTACGACAAAACATGTATTTTTACTATTTTTCATGAAAAATATTTTATATTCACTTCCTTAAATCACATTCAAGATGTTATAATCAGCTAAACCATTCTAATATATTTATATTTCAATCAATGCATTAATGTATATATTAATGTCAATTTAATAATTTTTTGATACATGTTCATCTATATGAAAATCTTTACTTTTATACCTCTAATATTTATGGTAATACGATAATTTAATATATATATTTATGTGTAATAGTCTTTTTATTGCCTTAAATTTGATTTTTAATTTATTATTTTTGTTTTTATGTATTAATTTTAATTTAATATTTATTTACTGTATGATGTAACAGGATCAGTAGGTGACTAGAACAAAGAACACAACACGCTGGATTGAAAACTTTAAAAGGCAGCGTCACTCCCCCACTCACTGTGCCATTTTCAATTCAATGCAAATGTTCTCCCACTTTCTCATTCTCCAGAAACGTCCTTGAGACATTTTGAACCTTTCTTTCCTTCTCCATGCTTCACCAGATGGAGGAAAGCACGAAACGCTCCCCATTTTCCTTTCTCCACATCAAAAGAACCATGCTTTCTCTATTCTTCTCCCTGCCCACTTCATTCTTCGCCTTACTCCTTCTCCTCCTCTTGTCCTACAGCGCTTTCACCGGCTTCTCTCTCCATCTCCCCAAGTCTCCTCTTATTCTCTCCCCTCCAACACTCTTCAATCTCTCTTCTTCCGCCAATTCATCTCTCGTCAAGAACCGCCACTTGTCCTTTCTTCCAAACTCCACTCAAAGCCTTTCCCTTTCCATTCAAAGGGCCAGAAGAGTGAAGAAGCACAAGCGTGGCCTTAGAAGTGTGCGCTCAGAACCTCACTTCCCTGTTTCACTTTTTCATTCCAGACTCAAAGCATTCTTCAACACTTCTTCTTCTTCTTGCAAGGTGAGGTTCTTCATGACTTGGATCTCTCCCTTGGAAACATTTGGTGATAGGGAGTTGTTCTCTGTAGAGAGCTTGTTCAAGTCTCACCCTGAAGCTTGTTTGGTCATAGTGTCAGAGTCCCTTGATTCTCACACTGGAACTCGGATTCTGAAACCGTTTGTGAGTAATGGCTTCAGAGTTATGGCCATTGCTCCAGATTTTGGCTACATATTCAAGGACACACGTGCTGAAACATGGTTTAACCGCTTGAAGGAAGGGAATGTGAATCCTGGTGAGGTCTCTTTGGGGCAAAACCTCTCAAATGTGCTTAGACTTGCTCTCTTGTACAAGTTTGGAGGCGCTTACATTGACTTAGATGTCATGGTCTTGAAGAGTTTCTCCAAGCTGAGGAACACCATTGGGGCACAGAACTTCGATGCAAAAACCGGCCAGTGGAGCCGCTTGAACAATGCAGTGTTGATATTTGACAAGAAGCACCCTTTGCTTTTCAAGTTCATTGAGGAGTTTGCACTCACCTTTGATGGGAACAAGTGGGGGCATAATGGTCCTTACCTGATCTCAAGGGTAGTGTCTAGGGTGAATGGGAGACCGGGCTTCAATTTCACAGTGCTCCCTCCTTCTGCGTTTTATCCTGTGGATTGGAGAGGGATTACAGGTTTGTTTAGAGATGAGATTCGATCCAAATGGTTGGTCAATAAAATGAAGCAAATTCGCAAGGAAAGCTTTGCTGTGCACTTGTGGAACAGGCATAGTAGGAATCTTACAGTAGTTAAGGGAAGCATTGTGGATAGTATCATTTCTAGTTGTTGCATCTTCTGCAACACTCAGCTTTGAAGTTTGTAGTTTTTATTTTTGTTAATTAAAGGTTGTAATTAGTGAATTAGAATGGTAGGTTTAAGTTAAAATAGTTATAAGCAATGTTTGTGTTGCAAGTGGTTATGGGACCAATTGTGTGCCGTCTATAAAAAAATATATATTTCATGGTTAAAATGAAGGACTAGAATAGACACCAGGGGTTTGGTATTTGGACCCTTTTGTATGATCTTTTTGTTGTATCTATTTGAAAGATCTGAGAGCAATATGACGTTAAAATTTTCTGACATGTTCTTTGAGTAACACTGGATGGTCCAGACGGTTGCATGTTTACCTGTGGTTTGCGATTGCAGTTGACAAATGAACAGTAAAAATTGTTCGATATTCAAGCAATTTATCTTGTGTGAGACAATTAAATTGTGAAAGCGATTTCTCAGCTTCCAATCTTAATAGTGCACCTACTTTTCTTTCCATGTCACCTTCTCTCCCACTCTCCTTGCTTTCATTTTTGCTTGTCTTACCTCTTTTGAATATGCTTGGGAAGATACTAAGCAGCTCCTTTATCCCAGTATTTTTAACAAATGGAATGTTTGGTTCACTATCAGGGTTATGTTTAGATAAAAGCTGAAAATGTGTTTTTGAGAATTTCAATTCACATACTTAAATTTAAATATATAAATGAAAAAAATTATTATTTTAAGAGTGAAAAGGCTTTCAAAATCCTTTAACTGATAACAAGCATGTACTGCATCTCCGAAGGAGAAAACTAAGCTTAACAATGGGGAAGTTCACATGAATAGACCAATAGCTGTTTAAGGTACGAATTATATAATATTTTTGTTGCTGAAAACAATCAAACCAGATATGGAGGCTGTTTCCTGAAGTACCTAATCATACAACTTTCTTCTAAATTTTGTGCCTAGTCATATCAATGGTGAGAGACAAGAAGGTTGTTTTTCATGTATTGTACAGAGTAGCATGGCACATGCAGACAGGTGATCCACCTACTTTCGGGTGTCAAGGATTCAATTTAACCACTGGTAGTTCAAACACATACTTCTTGCCGATTCACTCACTTCTTTAGGGGGATTGATATCAAAATTAGAGAAATTTTTTGGTCTCCGCCATATTATTACTATAATATTAATAATAGGAATTGTAAAGATAAAAGATAAATTCCACAAAATAGAGGCCTTAATGACTGATTTTTTATTTTTTATTTTACAGATAGCCTTAATGACTGTACTACGTAAGTAGAATAGAACCAAATCTCTTCAATGTGGAGATTTCTTTCTTAATTGCTCATATTCCAGAACATATTCAAACTTAAAAATCCATAACATAAATGCGATGTGGCTATTAATGTGAAGAGGTTGTTGCTCTGCCTTTATATTGATATATTGGAAAGCATTTGAGCAATCAACCCTGTGGTATTGACATTCCATTTTTATCTTGTGTCCCCTCTTATCATCTTTCTCTCATTAAAGGCCTTACTATGAGTGAAACGCTTCATCTGTGCCTGTGTGTTTATTTTGACGGATATTTTGATGGGATCATCTATTTCAACTTAAATACAATTCTTGAGAATCGAAATAAGTATTTATTTTGTACCATAAAAAGTATCAATTTATAGAAAATATTTTATTAAAAATATAATATTATATTGAATAAAAAATATAATCAATTAGATAAAAACAATTCAAGATACAATTGTTTGAAAAAAAAATTAATGTAACATAAGATATCTTAAAAAAACATATAAAAGAATATCAATAATAAATTGTTTTCGATAAATATTCAAAAGTTAGACTACATTCATAAAAAAAAATTTGAAGAAAATCTATATGTATAATACAAAACTACACAATCTATAACTCTTTGTTTTATTTTTTTCATGAGTATTTTTTTTTTAAGTTTAACATAAAAATATGATTGTTATATTTTTTTATCTAAAGAAGTCAAATCTTGTTATTCTTTTCCTGAAAGTTTGTCCAATGATTATCCTTAAGATAATTGTTATAGCTAAGAGTAGTTTAATATATTCATGCACTATAAGTAGGATTGATTTGATTTACTTGTCTATACATGCTTAGTGTAAAATTTTGTTAATTACAGTGAAACTAAGTCTTATTAGTAAAGGTTGAATATAATTTCTAATAGGATAAATAATGTTTAACACTTTTAGTACTCCTAACTTTATATATATATATATATATATATATATATATATATATATATATATATTATTTACTATTTATTTGTTTTTAAAAGAATCTTTTTAAAATATTGAAAAAAAATTGTAAAATTTTTTATTGTCTTTATATTATAGTGCGAAATTACATTATTAAACGATATGCTTTCGTCTTATCTTTTAATAATATCAAACAGTACTTCGTGAACTAATCTAATTGTGATTAAATGACTTTAAGAATTAATTGATGCCGAAAATATTTCTAAGAGTTTTATTCCATCACTCTTTTAAGAGTATGTATTTCCAAATAAGTTCTTGTTCAATTTTAAAGAGTTTTCAATGCAAGAATAATACTTACATTTGGATCACACTTTATAGAGAAGGAGATGCATTAAACTTTTTTGTATTCATAGTAACATCTAAACATAACTATAGAAAATAATACTAAAAAATCATAAACTGAAATAAATGATTATTGATATCCTTCACCAATAAAATTATAAAATTTATTTACAGGATATATAATAAAAGAGAAATAGTCAATTATATAAAAAAATATAACATCAACTCTAATACCAGTATTTTCGAAGAATTAATAATAATAAAATTCTCACGAATAAAAATCAATCATATAAAAAAATACTACATAACATTTAATAAAAAAATCTTAAAACATGAATTTATCTCACTTATAAATTATTTAATTTTCTTAATTTTTATCTTGTGTAACTTCAATCACATTTAAATTATTTGACAATACAAAAAAAATTATAAGGATATCTTATCTACTTATTATTTTTTGTTTGTGTAGATTGCACATCTCTATCTATGTATACTTGAGACAAAAAACAACTTTATTCAATTAATAACAATTTCTTATAAAGTGAATTATTGTTATAGTTTGAACAGCCAGAAAGTTGAAATTCTTCACCTGTTTATTAAACTAGAGCAACACTCGTGCCATAGACAAGCGGTGAGGGAACAAATAAAACAATGGACCCATTTGTTTTAAAGAGAGTGCGTGTAAAGCAATACAATAAATAAAAATCAAAGGGTGTAACATGTGACTTGACAAAATGGTGGCTGAATGACTTCTATAAAGCATTGAATATTGATGTGTAGTTTGATAAATTTTAATAAAACAACCATTTTATGGCTCTTTCTTAATGATATTTTAGTCATTATCTTATTTTTTTTATAGACTATCATATTATAATAAGAAGTATCTAATATATATTATTATCACTCTGAGTTTTGATTCCTCCGTTTATTTTGTCTTGATACATGATTCTCCTTAATGTTTAAAGTTATATCAAACATCACTTTAAATGATCATTTCATATTCGAAGTAGTGCTTATGGCGTAAGGGACAACCATTTTCGATTATGGCTACACGAACACAACGCTATATGAACTCATTCATCAGAGTGGAAAAAATAATCTAATACATATAATAAACATTAAGGTATACTAGAGCTTATGTTGGTGCAGGTGGCTTGAGGGACAACACAGATTTGTTAGAAAACATAACAAATCCTATTATGATGTAAAAGCAGAAATGGCCACTCTTACAAAAGGACCAAACCAGTATAATACTATGTTCGGAATATCTAGGAATTTGGTTTAAAGATTTGGTGTGCCACCAACTCATGACTCCTGCACCAGACGCTCTACATCTCTCATTTCCACCTCACTTTCTTGCAAATCATCTTCATCTTTAAACAGTACTTCGATTTCCTCCAAAGTCTTTCCTCTTGTCTCTGGAACACAAAAATGAACGAAGGCAATTGCACAACACGAAATAACGCCAAAAACTAAGAATGTTCCTGCTACTGTGATTGCCCGAGATACTGAGAGAAAGGACATGGAGATTGCACCACTGCTGACCCTACTTCCCACTGCTCCAAGAGCTGATGCTTGAGCTCTGAGTCTCAAAGGAAATATTTCACTAGACAAGACCCAGCATATGGGGCCAAGACCTACTGAGAATGAAGCTACATTTCCACAAACTGCAAGAATTGCTAATGCAATCCCAATTTTTGCATGACTCAGAAAAGCAAGAGACAAGCTCAGGCTAAACAAACTTATTGTCATCCCAATTGTGCTGGCGTAAAGCAAAGGCTTTCTCCCCAATTTGTCTATAAGAAATATGGCTATCAGGATGAACAGAGTTTTGGTGAATCCAACAGCAACGGTGGCAGCAAGAAGTTCAGAGTTGCCAGTTATCCCAGCGTTCTTGAAAATTGTAGGGCTATAATACACAGTTGCGTCTATGCCTGTTATCTGCTGGAAACACTGAATTCCACAACCAGTTATAAGCATTCTTCTAACAGGAGGAGTAGGGCGTAATATTTCTTTCCAGACAGCTTTTGATTCATACTTGTCAGCATTAACTGACCCAGCAGCTACCTGAATTTCTCGCAACTTTTCTTCAGCCTCCTTCTCATTCTTATTTATCTTTAACAACACTACCCTAGCTTCTTCAATCCTATTCTGCACCACTAGCCATCTTGGGGATTCAGGTATGACAAACAGTGCAAGAGCAATAACAACCGAAGGGAGAATTCCTACACCAAGCATTATTCTCCAATTTATATGTACTGGAAGCCTCGAGAATGCATAGTTTGATATGTAACCAAGAAGGATTCCAAAATTTATAAATATCTCAGGGAAAGAGGTAAGAGATCCCCGAGCAATGGCAGGAGAAATTTCGGCAATATAGACAGGTGCAATCATGACACCAAAACCTATACCCACCCCAGCCATGACTCTTCCTATCATCAACACTTTGAAGGATGGAGCAAGTGCCATTACAGCTCCACCGGTTTGGAAGATACATGCTGCCAAACCAATTGTCCATTTTCGGCCAATGGCATCAGATGTCCTTCCACCTGCTAAACTACCCAACAAGGATATTATGCTCAAAATTCCGACAAGTACTTCTTGCTGAACCTCAGATATCTTCAGATCCTCCTGAATGAATATAATTGCTCCACTCATAACACCCACGTCTGCAAAATGATAAAAGACAACCAACTAGGTCTTAGATAAGTTTTTTATTTAGTAGTCAAAATTATAAAGTAAATTAATACACAAGAAGATGTTTATGTAGACAATATTATACGATAAATTAATACAACATGGTCGCAAACAAGGCACAAACTAAAGGGTTCTCATGTAATAGTTGGACTAGGATTTAAGTTTTCTGCGTTCAATGGTTAGTGAGTATCTGACTGTAAAATTGCCCATCGTATTCGAGCAAAGCACATATCTGATATTTTGATAGTATAGACGTACCCATCTAGTCATAGACACAAACACGCACATATAGGTTCATAAATGAACACAATATTTGCTTAAGAAGTGGGAATTATATCCCCATTATGACAAATCATTTTTGTTCCTGTATAGCGTTCTTCCCAGACCAATCTCAATTCTTGAATATTGAGTGGCCATGGAAAAAGTTTCAACCTTAACAAAACCGCTGTTGCAAATTACACAAACAGCCCTGGATTTTACATTCATCATTGTGATAGAGTCACCTTATCGAAGTCCTAAAAACAGGTATCAAGTCCCACGGTCAAATCATTTTTCACTTAGATTTTTTTTATTGACACGTATTGGGGAATTTATCGGGCATAAATGAAATAAAATAATGGAATCGAATCATTAGACATAAAACGAAGATAAAGAAGTAGAATTACCAACCATAGCCGAGAAGCACGGAATTGAGAGAGGCAAAAACAGCACATGTAAAGACATATTTTTTGGCCTCGTGCTTCTTGTTTTGCAGAACTTCATCGTCCTCAACTGGATCGGAAGTCATCATGGTGTATTTTGTTTTGTTTCTCAACGGATTTTCAGATACCCCATCTCCGTTACCTTTCCCATTTTCTTGGGCTCCAGCTAACCTCATTCTACTCCTTCACTCTGCCCCTCCCTTATATATTCAATAATAACAACAATAACGATAATGATAAAAAAAATCTACGTAATCTAGTACCAATTGGTGGTCCTGGTTCTGTAACGTCAATGGGTTATGTTGAGCTCTTGGATCTGAAACGCGGAAAGCGATTGAATGGAAAAGAAGAATTGAGGAGGAGAAACTGCCACCCCATTGGAAAAATTAGTTTTCTTTGGGTTTTGGCCAAACGATGTGCAAAGAATAACCACATTGTCGTGTGGAGGGTTACTGGGGTCAACATGGTGTGGCTTTGGACTCTTACCTTGCTTTCATTTCAAAGAAACGTATTTTGAGGGAAAGTAAACAAAAAATAAAAAATGTCTAAGGTTGTGTCCCTGCTTTTCTCATGATCTCGCCTATAGAATTACGACACGTCATCCTACGGAGAGAGTGACACCGTAATCCCGTCGCTTAGCGCGTGTTGAATTTCGGTTTTGACCTTGTATTTCCTAGCTGTGTGAAGAGGCTTCCACCGTCGGTGGGGTGTTTCTGGAATCACAAAGTTGTTTAGTAAAACATTTTAATTTCATTTAAAACGATATGAATCAATATTTATTTTTTAATTTTAAAAACTCTAAATCTAAATAAAATTTTAAAAATATTAATTACATTACAAAAATATTCATTACACAAATATAAATGAGTGGACTCAAAACAATCTGATACTTAACAATATTAAAACATATTAAGTAAAATTTAAACTTGAAATTTAAAGACATATTAGCTATTGATACTTGAGAATGTATATTCATGAAACAAAGAATAAAAAGGAAGAAAACTATATTGGCAATTTTTATAATTAATACATGCAAATCAATTCTCACGTTTCTTACCTTACATAACCCAAAAAAATAAAAAATAAACTTCAGAACATAGTCAACTCAACTGTAAAAACTTGGTCTCGTTAATTCAGTAGCCAACTTGAGCAAAATTAGTTCTTACATAAAGGGAACCTCTTGAACGTGTGAGTGTTACACTTAACCCAATTATTAAAGGATATTATTCATCTAAAACTAATTCTCTCCCTCAATCGTAAAATATATATAAAAACATAACATTACAAAATTAATAAAATCAACGTAATTTCATGTTAATCGTATACAATGTCACATTAAAATACACAAACAAAATTTTCAATTAAAAAATGGGAATTATTTTAATCAATACTAATTCATTTTAGAGGTTATTTTCAAATGGTAAAAATAAAATTAATTGGATGAGTCCATCTAAAATCCTATAAATAAGTAAAAAAAATATAATATAAATTAAATTAAGTCTATTTTAATATTATCTATTTAGATTATAATTTACATAAATTTAAGACAGAGTAACAATATATTTATGGATCAAGTTATTTTATAGAATAATTATTATTATTTAAATAAAAATATTTTTATTTTATCAATATATACATATATTTTAAAATAATTTAATAACAAATTTATTTATTTTAAAAATAAATATAAAAAAATTATATCAACTAATTATTTAAAAATTTAATAATTAAGATTGATTATTATTTTATATTAATAAATTACTAAAAAAATTAAGATAATAAAAATAAATTTTAATTTTTAAATTTAATACAATAAACCCATTTGTTTTTATTTATCTATTAAATTATTATATCTTAAATAAAAAAATTATTTTTTTTAATATAATTTAAATTTTAAAAAATATTTATTTTAAATATTTTTTAATTAATTAATTTAATATAAAAATATTATTTTATTTCAATCAATTCAAAATTAGTCTCTTAACATATTAATCTAATATAAGTTAATCTAGATAAAAAAATATATAACCTATTTTAAAATATAAATCAGAGATTAATTTTACATATGAGGTACGTTTTAATAACTCTACTAATAATATTTATTAAATAAATTTAAATATTAATTACAAAACATAAAATATTTTAAAACTCTGGAAAATCAAAGTTTAACGGACTTTTTCCGATTCGAAATATATCCAAAGAATAATATTTTTCTAAAGATTATAAAATATTGAAATAAAATTCAATAAAGTGAATATGTATTTAAAAGTAACTGGATAGAATTCAATAAAGTCAATATATATTGAAAATATTTAGATAGAATTCAACAAAGTCAACATATATTTATGACAACTTTACAAATTATTTTTTAATGAAGATTTAAAAACGTAATATTAAGTTCATTTAGATTTTAAAAAAGTGAGGTATTATAAATTTAACTTGAGAACAAAAAATGTAAGTAGTTTATAAATTTATTTTTATTAATTTTTTTCTGTTTAAAGTTGTTTTTTCTTAATTATATTAACTTAATGTAATAAAATGTAAATATATGCAGTAACGTATATATTTTTATTAATATAAGACTTAAACATTAATGAATGTATTGACAAAACAGGTAAAAGATAGTTTTAACTCTTGATTTAAGATAATAATTAAAAAGATATTAGACATTAATTCTAATATCATGATAAGATTTTAATATAAAATCAATTAGTAATATATAGAATAATCTAACATGTATTTAAATTATATAAAAATAACAAAATACATATTATATAAAACTTTTAAAAATAATCATTTAAAAACATATTTTTTGAAAGTACAATATTAACTATATATATATATATCATATTTTTTATACCATAATTTTGGTTCTGGGTTGACTTTTTTTTTAATGTGTTTGGATTAAAAAATAAATTTAAAAGAATAAAATTGAGTATAAAAAGATTACGTTGGAATTAAGAGAAAAAACATGTTAAAAAAATAAGAAATAATAATTTGTAAGTGATTTAATTAATATAAATGATAAAAAATATTTTAATACAAAATTTAAAATATATAAATTAGAATTAAATAAAAAATATTATTATTGATATAATTTAAAATATTATAATTATTTTACTTATTTTTGTTTTAATTATTAATATGATTATTATTATAGTTATTATAATTTTTATTATTAAACTAATAATAATTATTTATATATTATATATAATATAACGTAGACTTTCTCGTTTTTCTTTTCGGAAAGAATTTTCTTATTGAGAATCGCAGATTTTATACCTCGAAAAGTTAACTTTTTTCTTTTTTTATAAATCTACCCTATTCGACTTTCTGATCCAAACATACGCTTAAGGCTTACCAAGATTGGACCAGGGAAAGTAGGCCAGTTTAACGGGCTACATTTCTCTCGGCATCTTCAGTCCGCCAGCCAAACTTTAAAGCCCAAAAGGCCCAAAAAATCTCACATTGTTTCACGTGCCCAGGTTCGAAGACTGTTTGGGTGCTAAGTTATTATTAATCCATTTTCCCCTCGTTCTGAATTTCACTCAGCTTTCTTCAATCCGATTCATTGTTATCCCTCCCACTGAACTCTCTCTTGTTAATCGAATTTCTCGATTCCGCTAAGCCCTTCAGCGATGGCCGCGGAAACACTTCCCTACCAGAACGGCGGCGTCGTTGCTAACTCCAACGACTCCACCGCCACGGCCAAGAAATCGCGGGAGAGCGAGCGCCGCCGCCGTCGCCGGAAGCAGAAGAAGAACAACAAAGCATCCGAGGCGTCGGTGCCTAACGCTGCCGAAGAAAGTGACGACGCGAAAGAAAATATTGATTCAAATCAGGTTCTCGTCCATCTAACTTCTGTTATTTCGATACCTTCTCAGGCTTTGGTCCGTTGGTTATTATTCCTACTCCGTTGGATGTTCGTTATCGATAATGGCTTTATCGCCGGAAAGGATAGATAGATTTTGTCTGTTTATATTTGCGTTTTGTTGCAATAATATTGCTGCGAATTAGGGTTTTCGTACTTGAACTTGGCGTTTCAGAGCTTTTGGTAGAGAGTGATGAGCCTATAGGGCTTTGTTAGGTGAAAAGGAATTGGATAGAAAATATAGGAAAATGATCTTTGTATTTGGACAAGGATGGCTCATGTACATGGAATGTGACTCTTGTGCCTAATATTGCACTAGTTATTCTTATGTTGCAAAATTTACTTTGTTTTGATTTAAGTTCTTATACTGGAATAATTACTGTAATTATTGCATTGTGTTATTTTTTAGTGTTTATATATATATATATATATATATATATATATATATATATATATATATATATATATATATATATATCGTAGCAGAGCATTGTTTCCTTTAGTCATAGATTGAAATTTCCCAGATGACATTTGAATTATACTGTCATTAGTGCACAAATTATGCCGTTATTTTTCTTTGTTTGCAGGTTGTTGAACAAGTTGAAATTGAGTACGTACCAGAGAGGGCTGAATTAGTTGAAGGCATGGATGAGGAGTTTAGAAAAATCTTTGAGAAATTTAGTTTCGCTGATGTTACTGCTTTGGAGGTAATCCTTATGTCTCAATTGTCTTCTTCTCATTGAATGTTCTTGTATATTGTTTGACTGAAGGTTTATTATTATGCAACTAGGACACTGATAAGAAGGATGGTTTGGAAGATAACGCAGCTACCAAGAAGAAGGCTGATTCTGATTCTGAAGAGGAAGAAAATGATAACGAGCAAAAAGAGAGAGGCATCTCTAACAAGAAGAAAAAGGTGTAGCAATTTGTAACATGCTTTTTTTTTTTTTTTTTTCTGTTTAGTCAATTGTTACTATTTTCTTTCTTTTGATAAATATTCTAAAATGTTTCTTTCTTTTTTTTTGGTTCAGCTTCAACGGAGGATGAAAATTGCCGAATTAAAACAAATTTGCTCAAGGCCAGATGTTGTAGAGGTAAGTTGCTCAGCATACTTAGACTTAAATTGTTCAGTATCCCCTTCCCAGTTCCCACTATTAGATTGATGTCTTGGCCATTATGCTAAAGTTATGTACTTGGTCTACTTTTTCACTTTTTAAGGTGTGGGATGCTACTGCATCAGACCCAAAGTTGCTGGTGTTCTTGAAGTCTTATAGGAACACTGTACCTGTACCCAGGCATTGGTGT